GCTGGTGTGAGGGTCCCGCCTGTGCACCCTGCAGGTCCCAGATCCGCACGGAGGGCTTCCTGCACCTGCGCTACCAGGGCACGGACTGCGCCCTGATGGTGTCTGCCCACCAGCACCCGGCCACTGCCCGCTCTCCCCGCGCTGGCGACTTCGGGGCAGCGTTCGTGGAGAGGTACGCCAGCTCGAGGCCTGGGAGCCCTGGTGGGTTGCCTGCTGGCCGGGCCGCCCGGCCCTGACCGCTCCCTCGGGCCGGCGGGCGCAGGTACATGAGGGAGTTTGGCTTCGTCATCCCTGAGCGGTCGGTGGTGGTGGACGATGTGCGGGTGAGGGGCACTGGCTGCAGCGGCCTTCGCCTGGAGGACGTCACCAAAGCCCAGATGGGGCCCCCTCGGGTAGACAAGGTCAGTGGCCCTGCCACACACACCCACCTGTGCCCTCGGGGACACGGGCAGGTGGGGATGGGGAGGTGGGGGACCTGGGTGCTGGGCCTCCTTCACCCCCCCACCTCCTCAGATGACCCAGTGCTACTTTGAGGGGGGCTACCAGGAGACCCCCGTGTTCCTGCTGGGAGAGCTGGGCTACGGGCACAAGCTCCAGGGACCCTGCCTGATTATCGACAGCAACAGGTGGGCTGAGGCTGGCCAGGTCGGGTCCTGGGGGTGCAGGTCGGGGCCACAGCTCTGGGTGCCTGGCAGGGGGTTCCCTGGCCCGAGGCTGCAGGAATCTGGAATCTAGGGTCGCATCATGTGGGACCCCCACCTGGGGAAGTGAGGTTCCTGGTTGGGAGCGGGGTCTGGCTTGGCCCCTCCAGCCGCCCTGTGCCCCTGCCCCCAGCACCATCCTGGTGGAACCGGGCTGCCAGGCAGAGGTGACCGAGACTGGGGACATCCGCATCGCGGTGGGGGCTGAGACCTCCGGCACGGTGGGCGCCCAGCTTGACCCCATCCATCTGTCCATCTTCTCACACCGCTTCATGAGCATTGCGGGTGAGTGTGCCAGGCCACTGTCCTCCTGGCCGTCCTCCCTGTGGGTCCGGCGGGGGGTCTGCCAGCCAGGCACAGGCGGTGCGGGAAGTGTTGCCGGGGAAGGGGCAGAAGCAGGATCGTGGCTGTGACCGGCCGAGCAGCGTGGCCCTGGCTCTGGGCTGGCACCGCCTCCCTGCACCCACCGGCCACGGCCGCGGGCAGAGCATGCTTCCCTCCGACAGCAGCCTCTGGGTGTGGGGAGGAAGCAGGCTCTGGCAGTGAACCGACCTGAGCAGGGCCAGGCCAGGGGCCCCAGGACTTGCCTAGCAGGGCAGGGACGGATGTGGGACCCCAGGTTCTTGCTGGGGCTCTAGGCCGCGGTTGGGGAGGGCGAGACCTGGCGTCCA